AATAATAATAATAAAGGGAGAAATGTGGGATCCACATATAAATCAAGTATAAAAATCAAACGAATATTCATATTTGACCTGATTGTTTATAGTTCATAATGCGTGATCAAAACCGAAAGTTTCTGTGATGACTGCCCTTGTACTGTTCACCATGTAAGAACTTATTCACTATGTAAGAATTCGTTCACCATGTAAGAACTTGTTCGTTATGCTTCAAAAGATTGGAGACTGAAGAGAACTAGGCTTGAGATGGATTAATGACTGTGCATTGAGCATTGACCCCCCTATACAGAATTTTATTGTTGTTAACAACCATTTGATCAATAAATATGAGAGATGCCCTCTCAAAAAAAAAAACAAAAAAACGACTGTTTGAGCAGTTACTATGTTCCAGGCACTGTTTTTAGTGCTTTGTATTATTCAGTTTATCTTTACAAAAATGTCATTAAGTGTTATCATTATCTTTATTTCATAGATGAGGAAACTAAGTCATTGAAGTAATTTGCCAGTCATACAGCTAATAAAGTGGCAAAGGTAGGATCAAACTCAGAGTCTAGTTCCTGAGTCTGTACTCTCTTCTTAAAAATAATTAAATTGGATTACACTACATCATTACCTTTAAAATCTCTCTCTGATCATAAAATAACCAGCTATCACCAAAAGAATCTCAAAAGGAGTAAATTTTATTAAGTCAGTATACTTTAATCTATAAATACATTATGGTATACACCCAAACTTACCAGGTTTAGGTACTTCTAGACCTCTTTCTTTATAGAAATCATGCATTTGCTTTTTTTCTCCTAAAAAATGATAAAACACAGACTAAATTACACTTAAAATGTAACTAGTAGAGTCAGCAGAGATTCTGGGATTCAAAACTATGTAATAAAATTAACTTACTTTCCTCTAGATTGATCACTAATTTGTACACTATGTCTTGTAACTGTCGGTCCAACCTAATAAAAGGAAAGGATGGAGAACACCTCAAATTCAGAAAAACGCATTTTGTACAGAGTGAATGATGCTCTTTCTAAGTTAAATGTTTTCTCTTAGGAGAATATCTCCTTTCTCAGAGGTGAGTTACTTTTAGGTAGCACTCATGGTTCTCACCTGAGAGAAGCTCAAGTAATTATATGTACTTAAAAGTAACCATAGATTCTTGAACAGTTTGCTAAATTGTTTCACGTGTACTGGTATTATTCCCTTGATGAGAATGAGTTTATGGGCAGAGATTGTATTTTGAACTTCTGTGTATCATCTGCAAAGCATTCTGCTATGAAGGTAGTAAAAACATAACAGTTTTTGCTGAATGAATGAAAGCAATCCACTTTAAGTATTTTTCTTCCCTTAGGAAATTAACCATGAACTGAAAATGTGATTAATAAGCCACAATGCCCTATGACAGGCTTTTCAAAAGAGGTCAGTTGTTTCAGGTATTATTTTTAAAAAATAGAATTCTAAATATACAGAAAATGACAAGCCTCATTAACTTGAGTTATAGAATTAAAATACTCAGGAAAAGAAGCCTATGCCTTTTTTTTTTTTATGTCCCCAGCAGATACCACAGTGCCTGGTACACAGTAAGTGCTCTATATGTATTTCTTCAAAGAATATGTAGTTCCCTTTCTTCTAATTTTAAGACAGGTCAAGAATTTTCTCCCAACCACACAACTTGAAGCTTTCACAAAAAGTATACTTAAGATATACCTTCTCCTTATATAGTCCTCTTACCTTATGTTATAAAGAGGTTGTGTCTGATGTACTACTATGTTGCATTTTGGACATCTGTTGCTGTAGTAAAAATGTCTTACAATGCAGCTTTTACAAACTGTTGAGAAAGAAAATGCTTAAGTTAGGATGCTTACAAGACATTTCAAAAATTGAATATATTATTCTGAAATGTGAACTATATGCTTACAAGTATGAAGGCATTCTGTAATGGTAGTTGCATCTATTAAGTAACCTTTGCAAATGGAACACAAGATGTATGGAGTCAGCTCAGAGAGATTAATCAGGCGCTGCAAACGGAATGGAAATAGTTTAAAAATATAAGTCCTTGCCTGCTCAGATTCTTTAACCAAAATCCTAAAATTTCATTGTAAACAATCTGTAACTTATTTTACAACATGGAAATGTTAAAATACTTCTGAAAGTTACAATAACATAATATAAACTAATGTTTCGGAAAGATCTCATTGTTTTGTATATATTGTATATTGCTAGATGAGGGGCATCTTATGAATTACAAAATGGGTTAACTTTCCAGATAGTGGTGTTTAATGCATTAATTCTGACTGGCTGGGCGTATTACCTAGCTTGAAGTATGCGCTACCACATAAAAACAAAACAAAAACTTCCCAATTAGCGACTGACTAGGTGGGAAGGGTTTACCATTCTCTGAACACCCAGCAGAAATGGGCTGTTTTCCCCGTTAACTGCAAGCTCCTAGAAGGCGCCTATCTGCCCGGCACGCAGGAGCTTCAATAACTACAGAAGGAGTGAGTCGGCCCTGGAGAGCCTGCGATCTGCAGGAACCTCACAAAATGGGTCGGCAGGGAATCAGCCGGGGCAGAAAGCCTGTCCGCGCCGCATGCCTAGGCAGGCAGGGTGCGGAGGGCTGGTGGTCGGCTCAAGTGCCAGGCTGCGGCGGCGGGCGGGGCCGGCTCCGTCCCGGCCAGGAGGCCCCTCGGCTGCTGGGCAGAAATACCTCCTCCTCGTCCTCCGAGTCCGGCCGGCCCCCCTCCAGCCTCAGCGAGAAGTGGCTCATCTCCTCCTCTTCCTCCTCCTCCTCCTCCTCTTCGTCCTCCTCCAGCTCCTCATCCTCTTCCAACTCCCCGTCCTCGTCCTCGAAGCGGCCCCTCAAGCGGCCCAGGCTGCGCTCCGGCTCTAGCTCAGGGGGCCGGGAGCCTGAGCAGCCGGGAGCCCCCGCCTCAGGCAAAGGCGGTAGAGCCGCCTCACCCGCTGCGGGCGCTGGTGTGAGGGCAGGCGGGGAGACCGCAGGCGGGGGCAGCACGGCTGCTGCTCCCTCGGTTGTGGCAGCGCCCGCGCAGCCTGTCGCCACCACCGGGACCCCCTCCATGCCCAGGGCAAGAGAAGACCCAGTGCCTGGGTAGCGCGGGAGTTCCGCGGTGCTGCCTACGCTGCTAGGGCGCAGGCGCTGGAGACCTGCAGGGCCTGCTGGGAAATGTGGTTCGCTACTCCTCACCTGAACCTGGCTGAGCGCCGCCGCTCATGTATATTGGGCGGGGCTTGCGGGTCCAGTCTGAGGAATCTCATCGACCTTTTCCTTTGAAAGGCTGATGCTCTCTCCACTGCCTTTTAAAAACGACGAAATGAGTGCCTTTTCACACAACAATATTCTGTCTGCATCGATTGATGCGAAGAGAGCCCTGAAATAGTTGCTATACTGATATTGCATTACAAATAATAATGATTTCAGTTTCAGTACCAATTATGCGTTTCTTCCGTCCGAGATTATTTCCATTAGGAAGTATGAAATTTCTGTTTTGAAATATGTAAATTAATTTATTTGCAGGAATTAAATCTTGTATTGTCACAATATGGAAATTTCGTCCCCAAAGACCATCCACAATTCCCCAACCACATAAAGGAAAGTCATTTAGTTCAATAAACATTTATTAAGGGTCTACTGTTAGCAGGAACTTAGACCTACCTACATACTCCCACCCTCTAATTTTATTAAGAGAGAGATTTGGAGTTGGCATACTTTGTCATTGATGACTAAGATAATGCCAGCTAATGTCATGAGGCTTGCAAGCCAGATTTTGGAGGAAGTCAAAGTCTCCTTAATGATTATGTGGGGTGGGGTGGAGGGGCAAAAATTACATTTGAGAGAGGATGTGTTGTCACTGAACAAAATTAATGCTAATCTGGGAGTAGTGTACATTCTTTTTAGGGAAATGGTGAGGAAATCAAGGCACCATGTTCTTTGGGGAAAACTGAATCAGATTTGGTATGTTCCCATTGCTCCTTGACAAGACCTCCCGTCTCCCGCTATAGTCTCCAAAGTCTGGTGAAGCCTCAGATACTGAAGCTTGCAAGATCCAAGAAGAAATGGAAGGAAGGAAATGTCTCCTTCTACATGAAGGAATGTTGATACTCAAGGGAGGTGGATGGGAACTGGACTAGGATATTGAAAGAGGATGGTTGAAGAGAGATTGAAAGAGACAGAGGTAGACACCTGAGATAGATACTCTTTTTACAAAGGCCTAAAACTGTCAGAGCCTCCCCATAACTAAATCAGATAAAGTCATAGCTCCTAAACATTCAATAATGTTAAATGCTACCCGATGAAAGAATTGCTTGTACTGTGTGTTTTAATTATATAATCTAGTAGTATGATATGAAAATAGTAGGAATAAAGTTTTATATAGAGAATATAAAATATTAAAAACCCCAACTTTTAAAAAATGAAATGAAGAACTGCATATTTTCAAAGCTGGCAAGCTGAATGAATTATACGTTGAGTAACTGCACTGAGTTGTGTTAGTTTAGTTGGTAAATAAAAATATCTGCAGGCTTTATCAATCCTATGGCATGATGGTTAGTTTTATGTGTCAATTTGGCTATGTTATAAAACCCATTTATTCAATCAAACACTTATCTACATGTTGCTATGAAGGTATTTTGTAGTTGTGATTAGCATTTACAATCAGTTGACTTCAAGTAAAAGTATCCTTTATAATCTGAACAAACTTCACATAAAGGCCCTAAGCAAAGGCCTTAGAAGTAAAACTGAGATTTCCCTGAGAAACAAGAAATTCTTTCTGTGGACTGCATTATCGGCTCCTGCCCAGGAGTTTCCAGCCTGTTGAACTACCCCTACAATTTCAGACCTACCAAGCAATCCCCTATAATAGTGTAAGGCAATTCTTTGTAATATATCTCTTAATAAATATATATATATCAGACTGGTTATGTCACTCCAGTATAACCCTAACTGATATATATGGTAAATGGCTTAATTGTGTGATATTTACAATATATAAGGCCTTACAGAATGTATCTCTTTTATAAAATGAGAATTTCTTATCTCTTTTGTGATCCATGTGTGTTACCATATCCAAGTTATATTTTGAGCACTTACTTGGGATCTTCATGTTCTGATGAGGCACCAGAATTGAGTCATGCCCTAGACCAAGTCAGAACTTCACTCTCACATGGAGTACTAAGTCGCTGGAATTGTGTACATAAAACAGCACAAGTGAATCTAGCACCACCAGTAATTGTATTCTACATATCATGATTAGACTGAAAGAGATGCTGTAGAAAAGTTGAAACTTCAGTACTAGAAGTCTTATTTTGGGGAAGGGGGTTGTTTTGATATTTCAAACAGTCATTCTAAAAAATGTTATGTAAGGTTTACACATTAATTCACTATTTCCTTTAGGAGATAGCAGAGGCTGGTTAACTGTAAGAACAGTGGGTCTCTGGGTATATATATCCCAATTTCAAAACTTATTACAAAGTTACAGCAGTCAAAACAGTGTGGTACTGGTATATGACAGACTTACAGATCAAAAGGAATAGAGTTAAGAGTCCAGAAATAAACCCTCACATTTATCATCAATTGTTTTTTGGCAAAGGTGACAAGACATTTAAAGGGGAAAGAATAGTCTTTCAATTAAAGGTGCTGGAATAACTGGATATGCACATGCAAAAGAGTGAAGGTGGATTCCTATCTCTCATCATAGATAGAGAAAATTAACTTAAAATGGATCATAGACTTAAATGTATGAGCTAAAAGTGTAACACTTGTAGAAGCATAGGTGTAAATCTTCATGACCTTGGATTAAGTAGTGGTTTCTTAGATATGACATCAAAAGCATAATCAGCAAAAGAAAAAATAATAAATTGGACATTGTGAAAACGTAAAACTTTTATACTTCAAAGGATACTATCAAGAAAGTGAAAAGACAGCCTATATAACTGGAGAAAAATTTTTCAAATCACGTATCTGATAAGGGACTTATATCTAAAATATATTAAGAACTATTACAACTCAATAATAAAAAAGACAAGTAACCCAATTAAAATTGGGCAAAGGATCCAAATAGACATTTCTTTAAAGAAAATATGCAAACAGCCACATCATTAGCAATCAAGGAAATGCAAATCAAAAGCCTAATAAGATATCACCTTCACCCACAACTATTGGGATGATATACAAGTATACAAGTATTGGTGAGAATGTGAAGAAATTGGAACCCTTATACATTACTGAAAGAAACATCAAATGTTGCAGCAACTTTGGAAACAGTGGACAGTTCTCAAAAGATTAAACAAGAGTCACCATATGAACAAGCAATTTCACTGTCCCCATTTTATGTCCCCATAAAACCTTGTACATGTATGTTCATAGCAGCATAATTCATAATAGAAAAAAGGCTCCAATATCCATCAAATAATAAATGGATAAATAAAACAGTGTATATCCATACAATATATTATTTAGCCATAAAAAGAAACCAAGTACTGATACATGCTACAGCACAGATGAACTTTGAAAATACCAGACTAAGTGAAAGAAGCCAGTAATAAAGAATCACATATTATATGACTTTATTTATATGAAATTTCAAACCTATAGACAAATCCATAAAGATAGGAAATAGAGTAGTAATTACCTATGGGTGAGGTGTTGGAGAGTGAATGTTTAATGGGTACAGGGTTTCTTTTGGAGGTGATGGAATGTCCTAAAATTTAAAGTGATACTTGTAAAATTTTGGGAACATACTAAAAACTATGGGATTGTACACCCTAAATGGGCGAACCCTATGTTATGTGAATTACATTTAATAAGGCCATTATTAAAAAGTGAGAGTACACTGGAAAATATGAAAATGGTACATCAATTATGGTTTCAGAAAATGATTGCATTAATCCTTTTCTTCAAAATTATGTTCAAAGACTTTCAAGGCAAAAAAGAGGGCATAATACCAGTTTGAAAAAGACATATGCACCCCTATGTTTATCGCAGCACTATTTACAATAGCCAAGAAATGGAAGCAACCTAAGTGTCCATCAGTAGATGAATGGATAAAAAAGATGTGGTACATATACACCGTGGAATATTATTCAGCCATAGAAGAAAACAAATTGTACCATTTGCAACAACATGGATAGAGCTAGAGGGTATTATGCTCAGTGAAATAAGTCAGGTGGAGAAAGACAAGTACCAAATGATTTCACTCATATGTGGAGTATAAGAACAAAGAAAAAACTGAAGGAACAAAACAGCAGCAGAATCACAGAACCAAAGAATGGACTAACAGTTACCAAAGGGGAAGGGACTGGAGAGGATGGGTGGGAAAGGAGGGATAAGGAGGGGGCTAGAAAGGGGACATTACGATTAGCATGTATGTGGGGGGGCATGGGGAGGGCTGTGCAACACAGAGAAGACAAGTAGTGATTCTACAGCATCTTACTACGCTGTTGGACAGTGACTGTAATGGGGTTTGTTGGGGGGGACTTGGTGATGGGGGGCGTCTAGTAAACATAATGTTCCTCATGTAAGTGTAGATTAATGATACCAAAATAAAAAAAATTTTTAAAAAGAGGGCATAATAATTGTGTAATAGAAATAATTCCTGAATAATAATAATAACAAAGCCTTAATGTAAAATGACACTGGACCAAAGAAACAGACTAAATAAGATTAAACACACTTTTTCTGACATGCTTTCACAGATATAACATCACCATGTGTTAAAGAATGTTAGTCCTTTCTTGTCCTTAAAAATAATTAAAGAGTTTTTTGTGTGTGCCAAGTAAATGTCTCCAATTGATATTCTGAGACCCAAATATTTCAAAGTATATAAGGCAAAATTTTGTCATTTGGATTGGGGGTGTGGCTATATTGGTAGGCATTAAATGCTGCATTAGCCTAATTTGGACCAAATACTCTGCAGAATAAGGCAACTCATAGTTTCTTGGTTGAGATTACTATCTGAAGGGCCCATTGCGGGAAAAAAAGGAGCCAGCCTGTGGCAAACCACTGGGAGATATTTAAACAAAGAAACAATCTCCTTAAGATTAATTTGGGTGCAGATAGGTAGAGAACCCTTTAACCAACAGTTGGAGATGAATACTTTTGCATATTCTGTATAAGTCATCCAAGCAGCAATTTCTCAGGCTTGAAACTTTATTGTTTTTGCTTTGTTTTCCCCTGTAA